TTGCTCTTCCAAGGGTCACCGCATGTTGGCACTCGCAGTTGCCATTTGCGAGGTCCAACTAGACCCACGACCCCCGAGCTTTGTTTTGTCTTCGAAGGGTGGACTCTTGAGACTAGGTCCCCCAGTAGTGCCCTTTTACTCTTTTTTAGTAGGGGAGGGTTCCCTACGAAAATAGACTTCAGAAAAGAGTTGGTACCCTGATTCTAACCTCTCTACTGGAGGACTTTTGAGATGTTTGAGACTCGCCGTGACCGCTGTTGGCACATTACGGGGTCTGCACGTGCACAGATTGACTCGCCCGGCGATCGTCCGACGTCCGGGACGTCCGGCCGACGGTAAGCGCCCGATTGACCCCGAAGGAGCCGGAAGACGAGTCGCGGTCAGGGAGTCGTCTGGAGAGAAATATGTGCCAATCTGGAAACTTTAGGCGCTTGAACTGGAATGTTGTTTTTTGATTTTTTCTTTTGGAATTCTGTTGTCAGGGTTCATATATTTGGGTGTCGAAACCAGCAGCATCTCTGAGTTGCACAGTCTTGAAACGTGCCGAGGGATACAGCTTGTTGACATTCATTTGGGTTTGTGTTGGTTGTATTTTGTCTGTTTTTACAGGAACCCCTTTGGGTTGTTTTTGTTAAAGGGAAACCAAATGGAATAACCGAAAACTCTCTTTTTTTTTGGGGGGGGGTCCGATGTTTTCTTGAGGCACAGCCATTTTTGCAAGGGATCCGCTTTCGCAATTTACAAGTCTTAGAACAGGGGACTCAACGGGTTGAGAAGCCTCAAACAATAATCAACCGGGCCTACAGTGGATGGACGAGGTCCATTTCGCACCACCGTTCAGAAACCCTGAAATGCCTCGATTCCCCAACGTAAATACCAACAAGCAATGAACGGATTTTGTCTATATCCACAGTCTGGCTGAAAGTTAGGGCCATGTATGGGACTCGAGTCCCGTGGTTTTGTAGACGACGATTAGCTGGTGGCAAATCACAGAGTTCGGATTATTTCCCAGAGATTCTGGTGTCTCCACAATGACCTCATTTTTTGTAGATTCAAATATAGAGGGTCGGAAAATATCTTATGTTTCTGTGTGTTCCAGGTCAATATTTTGGTCCATCTCAACTTCTCTGGAGGTCTCTGGGACCAGAACCGCTGCTTTCCCTTAAGCCGTTGAAGTGCCATTTGCAGGTCACCTCAGGTCACCCCCGGAGACAGATTCACCGACTGATTGGCAGGGGGGGGCCTGTTGTGTCCAAAATCTGTTTTGGGACCGCAGCCCATTTTACATTTCGCGTGTTGGGCTCAACACACAGGTTGGGGGTCAAACAAAACAGGCAATCCGTGTTTTGGCAGCCAAGCACTAAAACTGAGCAGAGCCAAAGAAGCAAGAAATCAAACAATATGCTAAGAAAATGAAATCAAGCAGGGGTTGGACACGGGTTTTAGGAAGGACTACACAACCTTTGAAACCATTTTAGTACAACAAGAAGTCAATGGATTGTGGGCACTTCTCAATTAGCAAAAGAGAAGGGAGCCCTCGAACGTACAGCAGGCAACAGTCATGAAACAAAACTTTTAATTACTTACTGTTGGCAAGTAGTCTTAGTCCAGCTTCCTTTACCATAACTTTTTGCGATTTAGCGGCATGTGAATGCTTTGCTTAGCGAGTCGTATTATTCTATCCTAACAGAAGGGTCCCCCGTGTCTCTAGGGCTTGGGGCACTTGTGAACACGGGATTCCGCCTATGGCATAGCATGGCAGGGTGATTCGAGACGAAGGGGGGTTTAGAAAGAGGGTTGGTGTCCTTTTGGCGTGCCTTTAAAGCAAAACAAAAGGGGGGCCGCTAGTTTTGGAAACATCCATGATATGGCTATATACACATTTTCAATTGGGAAGGGTGGATAAAATTTGAAAAGCATACCCATATATACGCTTCTTTCCAGAAACCCTTTTAAGGAACAGGAGGCTGTCTCCCAAGCCAAAAGCGTCCAAACTCTGGTTTTTCGCCTGTGAGCTTTTGCTGAAGCCCCAAGTGCTTTGATCAAGTAGGTGTTTTCAGGCCTATGAGTTGCATTTTTCACCTGCGCACTTCCAAGCAAACTTCCACCGTTTGACGGTAGACTTCACCCCAGGGGTGGTAATCATTACCACCCGCTTTCGAGAGAACCCGATTCCTGAGTTTTTATATGTTGGTCGAAAAGTGGAACCCTGCTTCCAAAGCGACCTGAAAGCTCCCTTGACCAATTCCTCCAGCTTGGTTCAATGTCGCACCACCATCCACGCCATGGGAAACCATTGTTGGTTGGCATTTACAGGGCAATCGAATCATTCCAGTGTTCCTTGGGTGGTGCAGGATTTCGGATTTCAGGCATCCACAGCAGGGGTTGGGGCCTTTTAATTATAATTGGGCAACCCTGGCAAATGGAAAGGCAGAGAAGCATGTGGGGTCCTTCAATTTTTGAACCGCGCTCCTTTTTGCTGGACTCAGGGCAGCTAGTTACACAGGTGTGGGGTGACTCCCAACGGGAAGCGACACGAACCGTTCTTTTCGAACTCTTGGCTGAGAGGCATTCCGTCATGCATTGGGAAAGCAGCGGCAATGGACGTCTGACATGAGGGTTGGGCGGCGGCGACCTTTCGGGCAAAAAAAAGGAAGAAAAAAGAGCAGGGGTTGAGGAGAGGTCTGGGTTGTCCCTTACTTGACCTGCGACAGCGGCAATTTTTGGTTGGGCGCCACCACCAGGCTGCCGGGGCATCCGGTGATGTCTGCGTCCTGGTCTGATTTCAACCAGCCATTTTGCAACAACCAGCCGTCTCTTTCTGGGCGTTTGGGAAGTTGTTTTTTTTTGGAAAGATTCGGATCTCTGAAAAGAATCGGGAAGCTACTACTAGAAGTAAAGAGTTGTGTTATTGTGCAAATACGACCCGTGTAGTTTCCTCCTTTCTTGGGATTTTTTAATGGGGACCATCGCAAATGTAGGGCATGAATCCTCGAAAGGATCTCCACCAGTTTGGGTCCCCATTATATAAAGTTCACAGTCAATGTCAGCTTCCGGAAATCCAGTGTTTCACCTAGTTACGCATTGCCGGAGGTCGGCCCAACCCTGTTGACCCCTCGTGCAGAACCCGAAAGAAGAGGGAATGAGAGACGTCGCGGGTAGAACGGTGCACGCAGAGAAAAAGCATCTGCAGAGAGCAGCCAGGGTTAAGAGCTTGTTGACTCAACCGGCGAGGGCAATTCGACACGCTGTCTTTTCGTTTCGACCGAACCGCCCCTTTAACTTTTCGGAACATGTTGTTCTCTTCACGGACTGGCAAACGACAGCTTCTTGTACTGGCATCAATTGTTTGACCATGATGGTTGTGCCCTAAGTGGCATGTTAAAGGATACCCCAGAAACACAGGTAGCACATATATATATATATATATATACATATATAGATAGACATACATATATATATATATATACACATATATATATATATATATGGCCGTTGCCATGCCATGTGCATGTATATATATATATATGTGCGATATCGAAATGGGGTACACAACCCCCAAGAGAGCTCAACCAAGCCTGGTGACCTACGGTAACTATTCGAAAGCTGATTCAATCATTTCGATGGGGGCGCCCATGTGGCCATGTTTCACTCATCAAGGATCCCACTTTCGCCCAGTGGTTCCACCAGACTCCCTTGGACGAAATCCACACCACTTTCAATCCTTTGGACACCCTCGTTTGTTGGTATTTAGCAGGGCTCCTTAAAAGATACATGTTGCCCATTTGAAACATGGCTTTTTGCACCAAAATAAGGGGAAACCACCATCGACAAGGCAATGTTTGGGTGTTTCATGTAAGGATCCCTGTTGGTATTCAGAGGCGCATCAGGGTTCTTAGGTGGTGCCAAATGGAGTTCGCAACCCTGCGCCGCATCGCTTCCCCATTCACAAAAGGTGCATTTCGCCAAGGGAGCTTAGGACTGAACAACTCTTTTCGCCAACTGATGGGGTTTGCCATTGAACTACGAAAAGCTAAACCTTCAGCAGGGGAGCAGATTTCGCAGCCGGGCTTACCTCCCGGGAGCCAAAGCTTCGGTTCGGGATAACACCTCGCTCTCGCCTTTTTGGGAGGGGGGGGGCGGACGCGGACGAAAAAAATGGTACCCAAAGAAACGCCCCGGCAAATTGTTTTCCGTTTCGAGCGAGAAAAACCCGATTCGACCCGGAGCGAAAACTCAGGATGGAGGTCCTTTACTTGGGGATTCGGTTCGTTTTGCAGGTGCTGGAATTGTTATGAACACTTGCAGATCACTGCTTCTGCACAAGGAACAATAATGAGTTAATCACTGTTTGCCAGGCATCCTTGAGATCCTGGTCCAAAAAAGAAGACACGTCCACTTACCACTACAGTCTTCCAGTTGCTGCCCTGTTGGTTTTCAAGCGAATGTATATTTTGAGAACCAGGGCGGGTAAGCTTCAACTACTCAAGCTGTTTGTCGCACTAGGCTGGGTTTAGCCGGAAAAGGTTCGGACTGACAAACATGTGTTTGTTGTTCAATCGACAAGCGAAGGCTGCAACAAGGACCTCAAGCAAATGAAAGCCTGCACTTCTTCTGCCTGAGGGGGGGGCTCGGCTTTGTTTTTTTGCTTGCTTGCATTTCTGATGGTGGCTTTGGAGACTGTTGGGGTCTGAACTGCACAAGATCGGTGTAGCTTTGGTGACAACCCGTTCGGTCGAAAACAAGCGTTTCGTGCTCATGTTTACAGATTGGTTCCGAAGTTGAACCTTGGAAGTGTGGGACTTGGCGCAGGTTTGGATGGGTGTGTAATGCTTTAGTGGACCCCCCAACATAGCGGTTATTCTTCTAATTTTGCGTTAACACCACAAAAACAAGGGTACCCTCTTAAAAGACGCACGACCCAGATGTAATTGTTCCCACGAACTTGCTTCTGATTTGTTTGCGCAGGGAGATGGTTTCAGCGAGCCAACTTTTGACAG